AGAAAGGAGGCTATTAAAATCTATTAAACTATTAAAATCCTAGAGGGGAACAATGGCAGTAACTACTGTGACATCGGCAGTATTAACTTCCTGCTAGATACATCTCCTGAGGCAAGGGAAACAAAAGGAAAAATGAACTACTGGGACTTCATAAAAATATAAAGCTTCTGCACAGCATAGGAAACAATCAACAAAAATAAAGGGAGCCTACGGAGGAAGAAAACATATTTTCAAATGACATATCTGATAAAGGGTTAGTACCCAAAATCTATGAAGAACTTATAAAACTCAGCACTCAAAACACAAATAATCCAGTTAAAAAATGGGCAGAAGACATGAATAGGCATTTCTCCAAAGAAGACATCCAGATGGCCAACAGACACATGAAAAGATGCTCAACATCACTCATCATCAGGGAAGTGCAAATCATAAGTACAATGAGATACCACCTCACACCTGTCAGAATGGCTAAAGTCAACAACTTTGCATCCTGGCAAGGATTTGGAGAAAGGGGAACTCTCTTACACTGTGGGTGGGAATGCAAACTGGTGCAGACACTCTGGAAAACAGTATGGAGGTTCCTCAAAAAGTTAAAAATAGAGCTACCCTAGGACCCAGCAATTGCACTCCTAGGTATTTCCCCCAAAGGATTCAAAAGTATAGATTTGAAGGGGTATATGCACCTGGATGTTTATTGCAGCACTATCCACAACAGCCAAACTATGGGAAGAGCCCAAATGCCCAATGACTGATGAATGGATAAAGAAGTGATATATACATACAATGGAATATTACTCAGTCATAAAAAGAATGAATTTTTGCCATTTGCAACAAGGTGGATGGCGCTACAGTGTTTTATGCTAAGCGAAATAAGTCAGAGAAAGACAAATATCGTATGCTTTCATTCATACGTGAAATTTAAGAAGTAAAAAAGATGAACATATGTGAAGGGGAAAAAAGCAAAAAAGAGAGAGTGAAACAAACCATAAGAGACTCTTAAGGACAGAGAACAAACAGGGTTAATGGAAGAGGTGGGTGGGGGATGGGCTAGATGGGTGGTGGGTATTAAGGAGGACACTTGTTATGATGAGCACTGTATTTTATATGTAAGTGATGAATCACTAAATTCTACCCCTGAAACCAATATTACACTATATTAATTAACTAGAAATTAAATAACAATTTTTTAAAATTAATTAATTAAAAATAAGGATTATTTTCAATATTTGGGGTGGGAGAAGTTAGGGTTAACATAGGGTTGCCAGATTTAGCAAATAAAAATACAGGACACCCAGTTAAATTTGTATTTCAGAAGTATGTCCCATTCAATGTTTAGGATATACGAAAAAAAGTTCATTGTTTATCTGAATTCAAATTTAACTGGGTGTCCTGTATTTTACCTGGTAACCTAAGAAAAAAGAACTAAACAGACTCAAATTCAGTTCTATTATGGTTGTGTTTGTTTTTGATTTTGATTTTTTTAAGCAACAGGTAAAAGCAAAGTGGAACATAAAAGCTTTTCCGGCAGGTTTAAACCAAAGGAATGTTTTATTTAGAGTTAATGGTTAGTTAAAGCTCTGAAAACATAAACTCTATTTCCAGAGCTGTTTTGTTATAATGTGATCACTACAATAAAGAATAACTCCAAGGTTTGCCATGGTATGCAGATGTTTTGTAAATGATTTTCTGCCCCCTTCCTTCACCCTCAGAAACCCCCTTCCCCCAGTGAAGTACTTGGAGCAAAACTAATCTGATGTGAAAAACTAAAAATATATATATATTGCTTTTACTACCTGCCAGATACAAGTCAGCAAGGCCACAATCTCTAGCACCCTCTTAAAAAGCTATTAAAATAATGTCAATATTTACTTGCACCTCAAAGCAGAGTTTAATCTAAGTGTTCAAAATCAGGTAGAAAAAGAAGAGAAACTATCATTTTCCCTTAGAATCCTGGCTTCAGTCATTCAGAAGTTTATTTTTTTTATAATGATTGAATATTAATTCCCTTATGTGTCTGGTACTGTGCCAGGCCAGATTTTCTTTGTGCCTCCCTGGAGTACAGACTAGTTGGTGAGACGTTACTAGGACATGCCCGATAAACATTATTAACAAGAGTATGCATAGTTTAAAGAGGTGACTCCTCCTTCCTCGCCTAAAAGGCAGTTAGAAAATTCACGTGTAGGGGCGCCTGGGTGGCTCAGTCGTTAGGCGTCTGCCTTCGGCTCAGGTCATGATCCCAGAGTCCCGGGATCGAGCCCCGCATCGGGCTCCCTGCTCACCGGAAAACCTGCTTCTCCCTCTGCCTGCCACTCCTCCTGCTTGTGCTCTCTCTCTGTCAAATAAATAAAATCTTTTAAAGTTAAAAAAAAAAGAATGTGAGTTCTATGTATAGTTAAATTCCTTTTACTGTCTCCTGGCCCTTATGAATGCAATTAGAACCATGCACAAATCGAAACACAAAGGCTGGCACAGCTCTTCACAGTTTGTAACAAACGTTCAGACAGTATCTTGTTTCAGCATCCCAGGAGTTCCATGAGATATTACCACATCCTCATTTAACAAATGATAAAGCTGAAGCACAGAGATGCTAAACATCTTGCCTAAGATCACTCTGGATCCTGCTGTCTCTTTCCAAACTCAGAAAAGGAAAAAACAAAAAAAGATTTCACTTACACTCAGGTTTACTATACAACCCAGGATTTTCTGAACAATGCAGTAAAATCAAGTATTGATGCTGTCATATATGAATGCTGAACTCCATGCCCTCTCCAAATCCTACAGCAACAGTTTATCCTTACATTGTCATGAAGACCCCTTTGTGAAATGTAATGAAAGCTAACGAATCCTTATCCCATTAAAAAAAAAGGCACATATGCAAATGTTCATAGTAGCATTATTCATAATAGCTAAAGAGTGGAAACCACCCAAACATCCATTGTCTGAGGACAGATAAACAAAATGTGGTATATCATCAATACAGTGGAATATCACTCAGGTAAAAAAGGAATGGTGTACTGATACAATGTGGATGACACTTGAAAACATTATGCTAAATGAAAGAAACTAGTCACACAAAAGACCATATGTTACATGACTCCATTTATATGAAATGTCCAGAATAGGCAACTTAACAGAGACAGAAAGTATATCAGCAGTTGTCCAGATTAGTGGTTGGGTGGGTTGAGGGGCAATGGGGAGTGACTGCTCATGTGCACAGGCTTTCTTGCTGAGGTAATGAAGATGTTCTAAAATCGATTGTGGTGATGGGTGCACAGCCATGAACACACTTAAAAAACACTCAATTGTGCACTTTAAATGGTGTATTATATGGCATGCAAATTATATCTCAATAAAGATGTTATTTAAAAACAATCATTAAAATACACATAATGAAGAATATTTCCCAAATCATTTCTGATAGTTCACCAAGTCCCTGAAACCCATCCACAGGTGCGGTGGTGTCCAAGAGTCAAGGTCAGTAACTCCTGATCTACAGGAACAAGACTCATCATCCTATTTTCTTTGTTCTACAGATGAGTTTTATTTCAGCTTCCCCTACTGCAACTATCAAACCTATACCTCCTACTTTTTAAGATCACCATTTCCATCTATTAGATCACATGACCACAGTAGTTTTCAATATTGATTCATTACATCTAATAGGTGAGACAAGACTGATACACAAATAACGACATACAAAACAGAAGGTGAATCTTGTATTTAAAAAGCCAGGGAAGATCAGCAAGGAAGAACGATTAAAGGAAAGCTTCTTGACAGAAGAATGCTGGGTTTGATCTTGAAGAATAGGTAGGATATGAAAACGAAGAGGAGTAAAGGAAGGAGTAAAGAGAATTTCAGAGGAGAGCAGAATCAAGGACCTTTCAGAATAGTTCCTAGGAACCACGAAGAGAGGCCTTAATGTCAAGGTCAGGATCCTGGACTTTAACTGATAGGCTCTAAGAAGCCAAGGAAGGCTGCTGAGTAGGGTAATCAAAGCTCTATATTAAGATTGTTCAGGAATATGTGAGAGTATGCGGACGGCAGAAAAACTGAAGGCCAGGAAACAAATAGGGAGCCTATTAACAATAGTATGAAGAAAAAGTTACTACAGTATGATTTAGAGAATGACATCTTGACCCAGCAGCAATTTTAAAAGATTAAGGGACCCACTGAAAAAGGAGTGCTTCGACATGCAGCAGCTACTCATTTAAGGTGCTGCCAATATAGAAACCAGCTGTGGTTTATCATAGTACATATCTCCCTTGAAAAACCCCACCTACAACATGAGTTTTGAGATCTCAAGACAGAATTTAACATTACTTTTTTGGCTATTTGTGGGATTTTACTTGGCTGTTTGTGGGATTAGGAGGGGGCGCCAAAGATTCCTTTAGGTTCCCCTTTGCGCCATTAACTCTACAGGAAACATTTGAGGTTCTGTAACTTCACGAAAACGAATCCTGATAAGAGCTGAATGATAAGCTTCCACGTGACCAACAAAACCCAAACTCCAACACTGAAAGCCCTTAGGCAAAATGACGTATTTGCAGTAGCAAACACTAAACGGCCAGAGAACTTGTTGAGCACCACAGAATTCCCTTGAAATTGCTTTATTTCTATTTGTGAGCCCGAGGTGATTTGTGGCGTGGCATAACCTCGGCAGCAACCACTTCTGGGTGATAGACCAGCACTGGACAGATAGCGTGGGCGCGTTTACAGCCAGAACTGGCTGAGGATTAGGATTCGCTCAGAAGAGACAAAAAGGGAGCCGGGGGCTACTTAAAAGTATTCCTCCTCTTACCCGGCGATGTTAAACGCAGGGACTAGGAAAGACAGGGTTGGCGGCCTGAGTCACGTGACACCCTGCCCTGCCCCATCCGCACAAACTAGATTCCCAGAGTCCAAAACATTCCCCCTGAGCCCTTTTACTTCCAGTCCCTGTCCCCTCCTCCCCCGCCTTGAGACACCCTCCACGTCCCCTTCCCCTTCTGATCTCGGCTCACTTGTCCCGGATGATGGTCTGCAGTTCCCGGATCTGATCATTCATAGGCAGCAGTTTAAGCTGCGCCCCGATCTGCTCGGAGACTTCGCGGTCCTCTAGGAGGGATTCGCTGGTTGGTGCGTCACAGTTGCCACCGCCACCGCTGCTCTCTAAGTTGAGGCTGGCCGCGCTGCACGCCGGAGGACCCAGCTCAGCCGGTACGCTAGAAAGAGCATGCCCTGCGAGGAGAGTCGGCTTGGCCTTGAAGGCGCTGTTTCCCCCGGCCTGGTCTGAGATCAGGTCGCCAGGTCGCAGCGGCTCGGAGCTTCGGGTAGAGACAGAGTTTGCTTTCTGACTGTGACAAGGCACGGAGTCCGAACACCGTAAGTCCATGGCCGTACACCAGGCCCCGGGCTGTCCCTGCGGCTACCGACCCGGAAGGCTGCAGGAGCGCAGGGAGAAGGGGCCGATGCTCATCAGCTCTCCTGTTCGCCCTGGACGCTTCCAAACTCTTACCCGGGGTTGGCCCTCTCACCCCCCGACTTCGGTAGGTTCCCCTCGGCGCGCTGCGTCCCTGCCCCGCCCACACCGGACGTACGGCCTGCCTCGACACTATTGGCTTCTCTCCCTGTCGCTCTCCAGCGAACTGCTTGTAACCCTTTGAGTCCCCCGGCTGCCTGGGTTCCCACACGTTAGCCTGGCGGACGGGATGAGGCCAGGGTTGGCTGGTGGCAGGCTCTTCCAGGAGCCCTTAGGGGTTCTGCCTGCAAAACTCTGGGTGTGTGGTAGAGCCAGAAAAATCTAGGGGTGGAGAGTGATAAAATGATTACATATATAAGGCCCATTGGTTTTAGACTTTGTGTCTTGGCCGAGAGATTATACTTCGGTAACTGCATCTTCAGTCAGCTTGTCTGTGTCACCAAAAGGGAAGTAAAAACTGCCTGGCAGGCTGCCAAAGAGCCCGCCCTCTACTAGACTGTTCCACAAACTGCAGCTTCCCGAGTGTGCTTGACCGCTAGAGTTTTCCTTATCTTCTTTATTCGCTGGGACCTACACTGAACGGTTACCATGGGGATTCTGACAGCATTTCAGATCCACGACCACTTTGTTTATTTTAAGTACTTGGAAGAACACTTTTTTGATTCTTTTGGGAAAGAATGTCAAGGCAGCAGTACTTTTCAACACCAGTGTGGTGTTAGAACAACCGGAGATCTTGTTAAAATGCAGGTTCTCATGGCCTACCTTTGAGCTATAACGTGAACATCAGAAACCTGGTAATTCTGCTAAAAAAAAATGTTGAGTGGCATTTAACAAGTCCCTTTCCCTCTCTGGACTTGCCTTTCCCCATCTATCAGTGAGATGCGTTAGCTATTTGACTCCTAAATGTTCTTCCAATTTTGACATTCTATAATTCTATTTTGCCTTCCAAAAAAAAAAAAACAATTCTTAAAATTTTCTTTTCCACAGAGGCACATAAGCAACACATGAGAGATTGAAAGTAACATGAGTAACAGATAAGAGGAATATCCCGGCCTCTGGCGGGACTTGAGCCTTGATCTGGCTCTCTGTTTTCAATTTTTTGTTTGTTTGTTGTTTTGGTATTTGTATTCATGGTATTTTTATCCCTTTGTTTCACTCCCATTTTCTCTGCTTTGTTCCTAACCCTCTAGGTCAGTACACTATTATCTGTAATTATAGAGTTTAAATTTGATTGGATGATAAGAATTGCAGCCTAGAACTGTAATCCCAGTCACTTTTGAAAGCTTGTGCATTTTTCCACCTAGCACTGAATGTAGTTCAAAGGGTCTCTGGGTTTAAAAGACAAATCTGGCTACTTTGCCAATGGATGCTCTACAGGAAAACACTGCAGTACAGTATTGTTTCGTTATCAGTAATTTAAATGAAGTAATGACTTTAAAATGGTATCTTGAGATATTACACGACTAACACTGTACTGTAGTCATTTTTGTCTAGTTTCTCATCAGGCAAATGGCTTCGTTCTCAATGCCACAGAATATGAGTTAGGGCAGTACAATTGCTAGTGTGTCTTGTATTTTCACTCATAGGAAATACCCATACATACACTTACCTATATTAACCAATAATCATTAGCAAATCTATGTATCTAGTTATTTAAGATGCTATTAAAGCACAATTCACTAATGAGTATTCATAATAACACCTAAAATTTGGTGTTTGTAATTTACAAAACGCTTCTACACATTCTCTCATTTAATTTTCAAAAAAAGCTTGAGGTTTACTAAGCCCCCTTTAGAGAACTTATCTGTGTGATTCTTTTTCCTAAAGTGACTTGTCCAAGGTCACACATCCAAAAAGCAGAACCAAGACAGAAACCCCAGTGTTTTGACTTCAAGTGCAGCCTTCTTCACACATACCGACAGAACCATGAAATCATTCAGTTAAGAAATGCTAGTTGAGCCCTTACTATTTGCCAGGCATGTTGCTATGTGCTAGAACAGATACAAAGAAAAATGAGTGAAAATCTTGAAATTCTCCATGGTGGTAGAGGTCATGGATAGTATGGAACTTTGAAAACCAAAGGACAATATTAAGCAGCATGGAAACCGAAACCAAAAATGCTAATAACAGAATTGACAAATTTGAATTTAGCTCTCTTGCTCACATTTTTATGGAGGCATGAAGCCAGATAAAGCAAAAGCTGGAAAATTCTCCTGTAGTAATTGAGATAACTGTAAACTTCATTTTAGGTTGTGAGCTCTAAATTTGATATAATCCCTAAAAATTATGGGAAGCAACAAACCAATTGCTTGTATCAATAGAAATCCTTCGCATACATCTACATAGTACCTTTAGAAAGCACTTATATATAGGTTATCTCATTCAACCTTATGGAGTAGTGAGGCTAAGTATTATAATTCCTATTTTACAGGTGAGAAAATTGAGACTTAGGGAACTAATTTAGAGTTACATTCTGAATAGTAGAGTTGGGAGAAGGCAAAAGAGAATTCATATTAATATAAACTCTATTTTCTATGCAGTATGCTTTAGTTATCTCGTTTAAGTCTTTCAACAACCTTAGGAGGTAGGCTGTATTTGTTATCTATTATCTGTTATTTTACTGATAACAAAACAAATGTAATGAGATTAACTTGACACTGTCACACAGATAGTAAGTGAAGGAGCAGAGATTTTTTTTTAAAAGATTTCATTTATTTGTCAGAGAGAGAGAGAGCACAAGCAGGGGGAGTGGCAGGCAGAGGGAGAAGCAGGCCCCCTGCAGAGCAAGGAGTTGATTCGGGACCAATCCCAATTGTGACCTGAGCCGAAGGCAGATGCTTAACCAACTGAGCCACCCAGGCGTCCCAGGAGCAGAGATTTGAACTGAAGTATGATCAGGTCAATTTGACTGTTCCTATAACCCAGGTCCTCAGATTTGTCCAAGTTATATTCCCCTGCTGTAGACCACACTTCATGTTTGTGCTGGAGAGTATCTCACCTGAAATACCAGATTTAACCTATGAACCAAAAATTGTGCTATATGACTGAGCTGGGGGATCCTGATATAATTGTTAATACATAGTTCTCAGATGAACTCCTTGACAATCCCTTTGTGCCCTAAGCTCTAAGAATTCTTTAATTCAAGTTGACTCTGGTGATGCTTAAGCCATTGCATTGTTATTTTAAACGTCTTATGAACAAAAATTTTAATTAAAAGAATAGCCAATGATCTGAACAAATACTGTGATTTGTTTCTTTCCAAACGAATAGCTACACCAACTTTTAGATGTATGCCTTAGTTCTATGGCTTCAGATAATCTCAAAATTTCTATTTGCATATCTTTTCAAGTGTATACCTTATTTTTTTGCCATTTACTCATCCTGCTTTCAAAATTTCTGAATCACTTTTGAACTACATATTTCCAGCCTTTTGAAGTTAGTTTACTTGTAAGTACAAAGAGCCTCCTGTAGATCTTAAACAATTTCTGGTAGGGTGTATGGGGCAGGACAGGCAGATCATTTATAAAGGATTATTCCTTGTTCTAAGAAAGAAAATACCTTGTATAAGAGGTATAAAATAGAACCTGTTAATATGACATATTAATAACTGAGGTGTCTTTTTTAAAAAGATTTTATTTATTTGAGAGAAAGAGAAGGAGAGGGAGCATGAGCAGGGGGAGGGGCAGAGGGAGAAGCAGGCTCCCCACTGAGCAAGGAGCCTGATGCGGGACCCCATCCCAGGACCCTGGGATCATGACCTGAGCCAAAGGCAGATGCTTAACTGACTGAGCAACCCAGGCACCCCCTGAGGTGTCTTTTTTTGTGTTTTGTTGATTTTTTGTATCATATGCTTTGAAACATTTATATTTTTCTTTTGTGTAAATTCCAAAGGTATTTTTTTCTGGTTACCTTGGGACTTACATAAGATATTTTGTAACAGTATAGTTTAAGTTGATAACAACTTAAGTTCAATCCCACAAAAACTCTACACTTTAACTTCTCCTGCCCCACTTTAACTTATTGTCACAGTTTACATTTATTCCTATTATGTATCATTAAACATATTTTACTTATAGTTATTTGTAATAATTTTCTTTTTTTAAGTACATTCTATGCCCAGCGTGGGGCTTGAACTCACGATCCTGAGATCAAGAGTCACATGCTCTACTGACTGAGCCAGCCAGGCACCCCTATAATAATTTTCTTTTAACTTTTATATTTGAATTTAAATTTGTTTACTCACCACCATTATACTAATGCAGTGTTCTTTCATTTGTCTATATATTTACCTTGACCAATGAGTTTCATATTTTATTAGTATTGAGTTGCTGCTTAGTGTCCCCTTTGTTTCACCTTGAAGAACTCCCTTCAGCATTTCTTAAAAGGCAGGTCTGGTGGTGATGGAGTCCCTCAGATTTTGTTTGGACAGTCTTTATCTCTCTTTCATTTTTCTTCTCCCAAGTTTATATTTAAATTCCAATTAGTTAACATACAGTGTGATGTTAGTTTCAGGTGTAGGAGTCATTGATGCATCACTTACATACAACACCCATTGCTCATCACAAATGCCCTCCTGAATAGCCATCACCCTATTAACACATCTCCCCACCAATCTCCCCTCCGGCAACACTCAGTTTGTTCTCTATACCTAAGAGTCCGTTTATGCTTTCCTCTCTCGTTTTTCCCCATGTTCATCTGTTTTGTTTCTTAACTTCCACATATGAGTGAAATCATATGATATTAGTCTTACTATGACTGACTGATTTTGCTTGGCATAATACTCTCTAGATCTATCAACGTTGTTATAAATGGCAAGATTTCATTCCATTTTATGGCTGAGTAATATTCCGTTGCATGTATATGCCACAGCTTCTTTATCCATTCATCACTCGATGGGCACTGGGGCTCTTTCCATAACTTGGCTATTGTAGACCTATTCTTCATAAAGCCATTGCTTTCAGGAGAAAAAACTATAACAGACTTTCTTGACATACAGGGAAAGACAGAGACCTAGACAAAATGTCAAGATGGAGGAATTCATCACAAAAGAAAGAACAAGAAAAGGTCATGTTCAGGGATCTAATCAAAAC